GTAACACAAGGATGGTGTCCATATGAAAGGTACAATTAAATTATTCCAGAGACTAACATGGGAATTATAAAATAGAAGAGGAAAGACAGGTGTGAAGTGATTAACAAAGACTGTTGACTGTTAATTGTGGGAAAGTATTTTATTGACAAAGAAAGTCTTCATTTTCCATTAGCCAAAACCTTGGTATATATAACTTGAAATTTTTATAGTAGTAGTGAGATTGGTACTTGTGAAAAAATTGGAGCCTGTAGCATAAGATTTAATATAAAAATATGGAACCACATTTAGGTATCTTTCTTACTTTTTTTTTTTTTTCTGGACATCTTGATGGCAAACAGCCTCTTGCTTTACTAATTTGGCAAAATTTTAATGACATCTATGTCCAAATTTTGACCTACAGAACTATAAGATACTGTTTAAGTTACTAAATTTGTGATAATTTGTTATCACAGTAATAGAAACAGATATATAGAGTGACTTATACATTTTTTTTTTTAATATTTGAAACTGAAAGAGGAAGATACTTTTTTAACTTAAGCTTGAAGTCATAAGTGTTGTAAATGAAGGACATTCTTTCACACTTTTGGAAAGATCCAAGAGGGAAATAGTTTATTCATATATTCTTAAATGCTTTGTATTATTAGATGATATGGTACTACAGGTGTATTGTCTACTTTTTCATCATTGATGGAAGTTGAAATAATTTTGAAAATGGCATTTTAACTTTATTTGGATGTAACTTAAGTATATTATTTAATCATTTCAGCAGTAATGGAAAATTGGTTCATTACTTTTTCAAAGCTTAAAATTAAATTTTGATTAAATTATGACTAATAGATTTTATAGCAATTTCATTGAGATGTAATTTTCATTCCGTAAAGTTCATCTATTTAATTTTGTACAAGTCATTGGTTCCCAGTATATTTATAGAGTTATGTAATGACTATTACAACAGTTACTTTACTGAATGAACACAGACTCTTTTCATTAAAAGCCCTTATTATTCATTTTTTTGCAGTTCTGTTACATACACTTTATGTATGTAAAGTAAAACTGGGACCAACAATTAAGAGTACAATACGCTGATTTTTTTCTTTGGATTATGTAAGGCTAAATGACTCAGCAATATTTCTTGGAGGGCTTTGTGCATTGAATAGAGAGAGGATCATATGATTTAAAAATGTTAAGATAACTTTGAAATAACTATGATAAAATCTAAGTCTTTTGAAGTGGTCCTTCTTTACATTTTCTAGTATAGAAGCCATCATCATTCTTACAGTTACCTAGCGGCCTTGTTTTCTAGGTACCTCCTGCTTTGATCTGCAATTCCAGTACTTTTTATCTGGGTTCAATCATAGTATTAATGTTTGGCTACCAATCTTGATTTTTTTACTCTTGTGCATCTTTCTTGCCAGTTGAACACTTTCCATTTGGCTGAGAATTGCCAGTGCCACACTTAAGTCTGTTCCTTGCAAATTAAAAAAAAAAAATAAAGAATTGTTAGGTCTTTTCTCTATATCTTTCTTAAAGATGAAACTGGAATTATATAGCATTGTAATGGTACCAAAAATTTGACTCACTCTCATGTATAAGAACAGTTTTGATTCTAGCTATTTTGAAAGATCTGAGCAGCATATGAATATTTTTACTACAACTTTGTTACAATTACATATTTATAAATAATTACTTTTGTAATTATTTGTTTGGTATCTGTAAACTCATACACCTGAACTCCAGTTAGGAGCTGTCCTACTCACCACTATATGTCCACTGCTACCACAGTTTTTGGGTCATAGTGGGTCCTTAGAAAGTGTTCACAAACAAGTTCTTTCCAGCTTCTACTTTAGCTGTGCATCTGAAGCTAGTTTACTTTGAAAGAATTATTTCTAGCCCTTCATTGTTAGGAAGCAGACTGGTCCCTTTTTCTTAATATATTTATCATATTTCACTGCTGAAACCATCGAATTACTATAAAAGCAGCCTGGATTACCTCTATTTAAGTGCCTTGTTACTTTCTTTGCATCATTTTCTTGTTTGTTTTCTCTGCACTTTTTTAATGTAGGAAATTTTCACTTGCTTTTAGGCAAGGAAATTACTTTTGAAGAAAATATGAATTAGCTTATCCATGTCCCTTTTGAAGTTACTGTAAAAATTGATGTTGGTACTATTTGACATATTTTCTAATAACTTTAATGTACCTTGAAAGCTTTCAGATTTGCTGTTCATTTTCTTTACCCTTTTTGCCATCTAGTGACTTTTCATCTTTTGTACAAGGACCAAGGGGACTACCTATCTTTCCTTAGCTTTTTAAACACATATATCATCTTCTATACTCTTTGAAGTTGTCAGATTTTTTTTCCTGTCTCATACATTTTAATTTTGTTTTATATATATTTCCTTTCCTGTGAAAGTACATGCAGTAAAAAGTCAAAATACTTTTTAACAGTTTTGATTGAGACTATAAAGTTTTTCAGAATTACACCTTTATTTACAGGTAATTATATTGGAAATAGATTTAAACATATGATTAAATCTGTTTTCCATCTTACTCAATACCCTTAGTCAAAAGTTTATTTCAAGTGGTGGTCTTTGAGATATGATCATATACCCTAGAGTTTACTTTCATTGTGTTTGTATTTAAGCTAGTTTCAGGGCCTCCCTTGTGGCAAAGGAGTCAAGTCTTAGCTTGCCACTGAGGCCTTAGCATTATATTTGAATAGATTGAACTGGTCTCCCCACTCTGTCTCTGGTGAATCCTCTCACCCCCCATATCTCTGGCTTATATCCCAATTCTTGAATACATACATAAATAAAAACAAATCTTAAAAAAAAAATAAACTAGTTTCACACATATGCCTACTAGTACCTTGTTTTGTTTTGTTTTTAAGATTTATTTATGCATACAAGAACTGGGGTACAGGCCAGAGGTCTGGGGGTGAGAGGATTCACCAGAGACAGAGTGGGGAGCAGAACAAGCAGATCTACTGAAATACACTGCTGAGGGAAGTAGCAGGTGAGACATGTGGGTCAGCTCTTTGGCTGGAGATAGAACTCATGCTGTAGTGGTCAAAGCTAGCTTCATAGTGTTGTAACTTAACCCCTTTACTGAAAGGTTCGACGCAGTAGAGAGGGCGCAAAGAGATAACAAAGCCAGTAAAACCAAAAATAGGTTTATTTGTGCTCCCAGGCAAGGTTTACTGACCCTAGAGAGTGTTGAGGTCAGAGAAATCGCACTGAAGGAAGGGTAAGAGGGTTTTTTATAAGCCCAGATGTGGGGAAGAAAGAACCAGGCAGAAATTTTTGACACAGAACTGGAACTTGCTTCTTTTTCAGCCTGGGCAGGTGGTGATAAACAAGTCATGAGATTATGGCACCTGAATATCTGCTCCTGCCTGGGGCAACTGTCCTTCCATAGGCCTATGTTTGGCTGGTGCCTAATTGTTACAGTACCACTAGGGAAACCCATAGTACCCTGTTTTAACATAGGGAGACTTTAAGTCCTGAGCACTTGAAAATCTGAAATATATTTTATATACATAATATATATATGTAGCATTAATATCATTGTAACTTAAAGTTTATTATATATGTATATTCACACATTACACACATATATATTTTTTATGCTAGTTCAGTGGAAATACAGCAACATTTGGATTCATTTCTATTCAGACAACTAAAGATTACTATGTCCATGTCTTATTTTGTTAGTTTTTATACTATTTTATTGAAATTATTGTAGTTCTGGGAAGAAAAGATTATGTATGTGTCTTCATATATCAGAGTAATTACTGAATCTACTTTAAGACTTGGGATGATTTCTGAGGTACTAAACAGATTATGTACTCTCTGTCAAAGATCCTTAAGAGAAAACCTGGTAAGCATTTCCATAGTGAATGGCATATCCTTACTTTACTATGTCTTATTTGGAAAAGAACTCTGTGGGAGTCCTTAGCAAGTAATTTTGCTAAGAATATAGACGCTTCTGTTGAACTTTGCCATTTTAAAATCTATCATTTTTTATTTATTTTCAGCAATGTAAAAGAAGAAGTGGATAGATATTTAGTTTGCAGTTAGCCATGGTATTAAATAACATGTAACTAACTCAGCATTTCAGTTAGCATTTATATTAATTATGATATACAATTATAATTTATATAATAATTAAACAATAATTCTCTTTATAATTATTTGGTACCTGTTTTAACTTGGGAATTTTCCTTGATTTCAAAAATCACAATATAATTGGTAGATGAGGTACATCCTTTCTCTTCAAAACTGTAGTGTCTGCATATGGACATTATCAGTCTGCGGAGGTAGTATTCTACATAGATGGAGAGTTTTAATATGTGGACTGCAAATACAATTATACTTGCTTTCCTTTTAAATATGTGGATGTTGTCTCAACTGGTAAATATGTTCTGAAAACTGGGATGTAAATTTTACCTAGCTCAGTCTAAAATTTAGCCATTTATGCCATGTTTTAGTTAATTCTGTTTTAAGGGTTTGGGAACATCTCTGACCTTTTCATTCCAATTTTTTATGACTCTTAAAAATAGGTTATTTCTTTATGTTCCACCAACATGTATGCATACAGACTCAGGCATACAGTAAATGTTATATGAGTCCAAGATTAGCATTTCAGCTATAGAACTCAACTGTGATAGGTTAAGAATGCTGTGTAAATCATAATTGTGTTAATATATCTGAACTATTGAGAAAATCCTTCAAACAAATGTTGTAGAACTTGTTTTCTTATCAGATACTTATGTTATTTAGAGTATGGTGCCTATGCCTGAGGGGAGAAGCTCTATATTGTGAAAAAATATACCAGGATTAAAAAATCTGTTTTATTGTATCAGTACAATAGACTGATACAGCATTAATTAGAATTGCTAATTTTCCAAATACTTAACTTAAAACAGTAACATTTAGCAAAGGAAATTTATTTTATTATTCATTAAATTTTAGATATCTTTGTGGATTTTTTTTTTTTTTAGAGAACCAGAGGACGAAAACGAAGTTTCATTCCCGAGGAAGAAAAACATGAGGTTGGACTAAGTTAAGCATTTTTTATGTAGTCTAAGCTCTGAGAAACTTACTTAAAATTATTTCTATTTTCCTCATATTTTGATTTTGTTTTATATTTTGTTTTATTATTCCTTGCATGGCAGGAAAGAGTTCCTAGAGAAAGAAGACAAAGACAGTCTGTGTTACAAAAGAAACCCAAAGCTGAAGATTTACGAACTGAGTGTGCAACTTGTAAGGGAACTGGTGACAATGAAAATCTTGTCAGGTAAGTTACATGCTGACCTTGTCTTTAGAGGGTTAAGGTTCCTTTTAACTTTAGGAGGGATTAAGTTTCCATCCTCATTTTCTTATCACAGCTATAATATGAGGTAAAAATTAAAGTTTAGATTTTCTTAAAATCTTATTTAGTGTAAATAGTACTTAAGAAACAGATTTCCTTCACTTCTTAACCTGATTATCCTTTGAATTTAGATGTAATTAAGAGTGATTATATTTTGCATACAGGGAATTAATTTTCTCTTGAGAAATTTACAATACTCTGTATTGTAAATGATGTATGAAAAGATTTCAATTCAGGTACTTTGCATGAAGATTACTATGTTTTCTTTCATTAAAATAAAATTCCTAGTGTTAGAACATTATAAAAGTTGAAGCTCATTGCAGTAGTGATAAGACAGATACTTTTTATTGACTGCACTTTACTAGGACTTCCTTACTGTTTATCAGAACAAATGTGTTAAATGCTTCTCTCTTACGATATAAAGAAAGATGAAAAGATGGCCTAGATTCTTTTTGTTCTTGTTTTTTGTTTTGTATTCTTGTTTTGTTTTGGTACTTTTTTTTAATCAGACATAACATAATCAGGAATATTGCTGGTATTTGCTAAGTGTCCAAAAACTGCTTATTTTTATCTATTTGCCTCTTTTTCTGAAATTAAAAAATTGCTCAAACCTTTCCTGGCTGGGTCAAAGTCGCTGTGGGTGGGTGAACAAAAGGTGAGTTATCTAAAGGGGATATTACCCTTTTAAAGGACTGCAACATAAAGAAACTTTTAGTATGTCAAGGGAATTTTGCTTGATTTCTTTTAAAAATTGCCTTTGTTAACACCTTGTTAAATTAACTCAGGTCCCCAAAATTAAATATTTTAGTAAGAATAAGTTGATTGACAGAAATTAATACAGTAATATGTCTTAAATAATTGCTTTTAATGTAGTTTATGATTAAAAGTATAATTTTTATGTTTTAATTTTTCAAGTAAAGGTATTATGCTTTAAAATTTATGAGTTTTTTTAAGAGTATCACTGAAGAAAATAAAGAAAGTGAAAGTTCCTTCGAAGAAATAGTGTTTCAACAAAATTAAAAATGTCTATCATATTTGGCTAGTGTATTTTGAAGTAGTTAATATAGAATGCTGAGAGAGTTTTTTTGAAGTTCTCGCTTAAATTTAGGGTAAAGCATTCCATTGTTAGCAGGTACACATGGATAATTTATATTTTAAAAAAATAATAAAAAGAAACCCCACGCATAAGTTGTAACATAATGGAGTACATTAGAAAACATAACAACAAAAGTAAAGGGAAAAAAAAATATATATATATATAAACTTTTTTTATAATGGACAGAAGTTTAGATTAAAGGGAATTACATTGGGGTTGAGGTAATGTCATACAGCATGATTAATTTGAAACCATAGGTAGAAACTTAAGAGAGCTATTTATCTTTTTTAAAGTTATTTGAAACTGCCTTCCCTCTTTTGTTTTTTAAGGTAGTGTGGATTGATGCAGACCTTTTTTGATGTAGAATCTATGTGTTTTTGCTTATTTATTTGGTCTTGTAATTGAAAGAAGAACTGAGCCTTTTATTTTAAACACCATAAGAGCATCTCTAATATATCATCTTTAATTGTCTTAAATATATGTATGGTCTTCCAAAATATTTTTAGTAATATTAGTCTTAGTTTCTGTTGTAAATTTTTCATAATTAATTATATTATTGTGACAGACCAGTGTCTTTGATTATATGTAAGCTTTCAGGAAGGTAGATACTTTTGTTACTATAGAAGTAGTGGATATTCAATGTCTTCTTCTTTAGTTTTACTTTTGTAAAAACATACTGTTATAGATTTTTCCAAAAACAGTTTTAAAGAGAGGTAGCTAAATGTTATATAATTATAAATGTTTTTGGAACAAAATAAACTGGATATAAAGTAATGGCATAATGTTTTATAGTTGTTCAGTGATTGTTCAGTTAAAAATATTTATATATAAATGGGCCCCTGGAAGTGCAGAGGTTTAAAATCTCAGCACTAATTAAGCTATTGTTGGTGTGAATACAATCCTTAGCTGGGGAGCTAACTCATATGAAACAGCAGACTTCTCCTTTCCCTCCTGCTGCTCTCCTCAGTAGTGTATTTTCAGTATATCCCCCCTGTTCTGCTCCTCACTCTTTCACTCTTTCTGGTGAATCCTCTCACACCCCCACACCTTTACCTACACCCCAGTTTTTGTATGCATGAAGAAATCTTAAATACACATACTCTTACATACACACATTCATTGAAGTAGATACTCTTACTCTTGCATTACCTTATTTCATGTAGAACTTCATATATTTAAAAAGTAAAGGTAGTCCTATAAAGTAATTATCTACCATTTCCCCAATATCATTTTTGCTTTATAGTTAGGACCAAGTTCCCCTCCTCAGTCCATACTTTTACAAATAAATTGTATCTTAAAATATGTAAACATTTTTTAACTTCAATTTTAAGATATTTGAAATTAGATTTTTTTCTCTGAATATTTTTCAGTGATTGGTCAGAGATATAACTTAAATCTTCTTGGGTCATAATTTAATTAATAGCCTTTTATTGAATATGCCTTGTTTATTCTCTCAAATTCCCTTGCACTAATGTAATGACCCACTAGACCTACTGCTTGGTAGCTTTGATTTTGATTTTGTAACCACACTTCTCTTTAGTTTTTGTTCCCTTTTTGCTATTTCCATGTTTAATGTTTGTTTACATTTTTTAAATATCATTGGGAAATTGTGCGATATTTATTAGTTAACTTTAATAGTAGGTTCCATTCATTACTTTGCCTCTAAGGTCTTCTCAGGTCCTTGGCAGTAGCATCACTGTCTCAGCTAATTTTTTTTTTTTTTTTTAAAGATTTATTTATTTGTGCATACAGTACTGGGGTATAGACCAGAAGCTCAGGGGCGGTGAGAGGCTTCACCAGAGACAGAGTGGTGTACAGAGCAGGCAGATCGACGAAGTACACTGCTGAGGGGAGCAGCGGGCGGGCCAGGAGAGGTCTGCCACGCCATGTGGTCACCTCCGGGGCAGGCGGGACTCGAACTCATGTGGAAGCGGCTTTAGATTCTCAGTGCTGTGCTTTAACCCGCTGCGCCACCAGGGAGGGCCCTCAGCTAATTTTTTTGTGCATCATTGTGCATTTTGTAAATAATTGCTGAGTGGTAGTAAATTCTTTCCTATATAACATAGTTTGGCAGTAAATAAGGGTTTCAGTTGGCAAATTTATAGTGATAATACTTATTCTTTACCTTTTAGGAAATGTGCATGTTGTTTTTTGTATATAATTTTTTCTAAATTATGTTGGACAAAAAATTTTTGAATTTGAAAATTATCAAGGTCTTAAATAAAAAGATATAGCATGCAGTATCTTATGGGTTTATTTATTTTATGCTATTTATTTGTTCCTTGACTCTGCCAGGCCATTTTAATTACTTTAAAAAATATTTGTTTGTTATTTATTTTTTGTGATGTTTTCCTTAATTGAGGTAACATTGGTTTACAACACTATACATGATTTAGGGGAATAGTTTATAATTCTTCAAATGAATATTACCACACCATGCCACCATCAGAACAGCTATAGTCTTTACTTCAAGCCCCTGAGTCTAGTCATACCTTTGTTCCTACCCCAGCCATTTTCCCTGCCCAGCAGCCTTAATTCTACAACCATTTTGCTAGGATTTATTTTGTTTTAGATTTGTCAGTTCCTTTGTTGTGATTTCCCCCCCTATATTTTTCACATTACCAGTGAAGTCATCTGGCATTTGTCTTTTTTCCTTCTGACTTAACTTGAGTTAGCATAACCCTATCCATTTGTGTCCATGTTGCTGCAAACGACAAATACATATCTTTTTTTAATAGTTGAATAATATTACATTGTCGGTATATATACCACATCTTTTTAATCCTCTATTCTGTAGCTATATTAAATAATAATAAAGACAAAGTAATCCAGGAGGATGTGTCCGAAGCTTTCCATACTTTATAATCTGAAGAAAATGTTGCTATTCTTTGAACAGGGCTCACATCAAAAAGGAAGGAAATTCTGGTATTCTAAGTCCAAATTGATGAAATATTGGGAATTATTTGCAACTTTATTTAGAGGAATAGAATTATGACACTTTGAAACTCTTATTTTCTTGAAATTTCAACTGTCCATATCATATTTACTTTTACTTAATTTTTATATTTATTTTATAAATTATTTAAAATAATATTATGGGGCCCTCCCTGGTGGTACAACGGGTTAGGATGCAGCACTGCAAGCTAGCCATACCTGCTTCAGTGTGAGTTCAATTCCCCAGTCCGAAGGTAATCCACATGGTGTGGCAGACTTCTCCTATCTCGCCAGTTGCTCCCCTCAGCAGTGTACTTTGTAGATCTACCTGTTCTGCTCTCCACTGTCTCTGGTGAAGCCTCCCACTGCCCCTGCACCTCTGGCTTGTACCCCAATTCTGTATGCATAACAAATCTTTATAAATAAATAAATAACCATTATGTTTAGTAACTGTTAGAGAAGCAGTTGCTTTTTAAGAAAATTTTAATATGATTGCCAGACAATACTACTTCTGTAAAGTAGTAATATTATAATTTCATAAAATTATAAGTCAGTTTCTGCCACTTTGGTGTTTAACTTACATCTTCATATCCCTATTTAGAGAAAATATTTATGAATTTGTATTTGTTTAGCAGATGATTTTTTGTATTTTTGAAAGGATTTTCATATGAATATGCAAAGAAGAAATTAAAAATTATCTCAAGACAAATGAAAAAGAGACCACAACCTACAGAACCTATGAGACACAGCTAAAGCAGAAATTTAAAAACTATCCAAATTGGAACCAGCAAAATGAAACATAACTATTTGCAGGTGACATACATTGAAAATTCTGAAATCTACTACAAAAATATTAGAAACAATAAATCCGTATAGGATACAGCAGGTTACAAAC